GCTGCGGGGGCGGGGCCCTCTCTGGGCTCCCTTCACTTCCTGTTATCCCTGTCTCCGCCCAGGGCCTCCTGCCTGCAGGCATCCGCCTCATGCCCCACACCATGCTCACGTTTGTGTTTCTGGAACAGCTCCGCAAACACTTCGGCATCAAAATGCTTTCCTGATGGGCCGGGGAGCGGGCTGAGCGCGGCCCCAGTGCCCTCCTCCCTCCTCCTGGGCTGGGACCTCCACCCTGGCCTTCCCCAACAGGCTCCTGCCCACACCCAGCCTACCTGGGCCTGAGCTCATTCCAGTGACCTCGTCCTCTCCATCTCTTGCCTGCCCACCCCAGGCTCTCCCCACCTGGTAGTCCGGCAGCCCCCCCCGCACACTAATGACTCAGAGGGGAGGTGTCCGGGCCCTGGGTTCAGTTTTCTCTCCTCCCTGAGTAGCTGGTTAACACAAGGTGGGCTGTCCAGGCTTTCTAGAGTCTGGGGCCCTCAGCACCATCTTCCAGCAGCTTCCATCAGGAGTTGGGTGGCCGCGGAGAGGGGTGCAGACCCCCAGCATGGCTCACCAAACTAGGTGTGTGCATGTGCCCTTTTATTTCTGGAGAGGGACCATAGCTTTTCTGACATTCTCAAAGGTAGCTCTGCCCCCGGAGCTCTGGGGCCCTGGGCAGATGGCACCATGCAGAATCAGCCTGCCCAGGAGGGAGGGTGAGCACATGGCCTGCGGGCACCAGGTCCAGCCAGCCCCCTGCTGCTTCAACAAGTAGTTTCGCCAAAAGCTCTCAAAGCCAGGAGCCTGCTGCTGCTTCAGGGAGCGTGGGGTACGCACGGCGTCCCCGCCTCCCACAGCTCCCAGGCAGAGGCAGGCTGCAGGGTGTCCTCGGGGGCCCACTCCGTGTGGACGGTGGCATCCGCCCACAGCCGAGACCCAGAACGCCCGCGCCTGAGGTCTGCCAGAGCAGCCCGTCTCCCCGACCCCAGCAGGGGTGCTCTGCAGGGGTGTTAATAAAGGACTGTGAAGTGCTCCATGTCTGGCATGTGCGTGTCGGCTGCTGTGCTGTCCGGGGGCCACGGGACCTGCTCTGCACCCTCCGAGGAGGGCTGTCCGGTTCTGGGGGGCAAGGCTGAGGGCCCAGAGGGAGAAAGAAGCCCAGCCCTGACCGGATACGTTGGGGTGGGCTGTGGGCAGAGGAACTGGGGGGGCCCAAAACCAGGGGAGGAGAGGGGACGGGGGGTGGGCAGGATGTGCGTGTTGGGGGTCTGGATCCAAGTTACCGTGGACGCCTGGGCCCTTCTTCTCAGCAGGCACCTGGGCACTGCAAGACACCCCGCCCCCTGCTTTGAGAGTCCCCTCTTGGCTGTGGGGGGAGCCCTTGGGGTCAGAGTCCTGGGCCCAGGAAGGGACTGGGCAGACCCAGGTTCTCCAGGCTGCAGACCCTTGCACGGACAGGCGGGGGCAGGAGCTGCTGTGGGGGCCACCCTGAGGCGGACGCTGCCCAGGGCCTGCTGCTGATGCTCTGGTTCTGGAGCATTTCAAGTGTACAACAACATAAGGGGTTAGGTGGCGGTGAGGGCTGCCCGGCTCAGAACTAAAACCCGCTAAATCTGGATAAGCTGCTACCGCAGCAACCCACACGCACGCGTCCCCTCAGTTCCCCCCCTCCCCCCGCCTCCGGCCGGGAGCACACACCAGCCCCGCCCCCACCCACTGCATTGTTTGGAAGGCTTGGGGTCATTTACAGATAAATACTTAGGCACGTGTATCTAAAAATAGTCTTTCAGGGGCACCTAGGTGGCTCCTCGGGGTGAGTGACTCTTGGTCTCGGCTCAGGTCATGATCTCAGGGTCGTGGGATGGAGCCTCACATCAGGCTGTGTGCTCAGCACAGAGTCGGCTTGAGATTCTATCTCAAATAAATCCTTAAAAGTAGTCTTTCAAAACCTGTGTGCGTGACTCCAGCAGTAATTCGTGATATGTGGGAACAGTAATGGTCCGTCTTTACCCTCTACCCTCAAATGTCCGCAATTACACTTTGAGAGCTGGTTTCCTGTGAATCGGTCCAGGTCCAGGCCTGCGGTGTCTCCTTCCTGTCCTTTCTCTGCTGTTCCTGGGTCCTGCCGCCTCCTCTCAAATTTGGCCCCTTTGCCCCTGAATTTCCTAAAACCGGATCTGGCTCCAGGTCCCATTTCTGAGCAAAGGACTTGGTGTGGGGCGTGGTTCCTGCATTCTTGCCGGGGTCTCAGGACCTGGCCAGGTTTGGGGATGGGCACAAAGCAGCCACGCAGCTGGGATCTCAGAAGGTGGCGTGAGGCTTCTGGGGTCGCGGAGCTGGCGGGGCGGGGGCGCTTGGGGGCAGGCACCAAAGAGGGTCCTGGCCAGACCCAACTCTGGCGGTTTGGGCTTGCACACAACTCCCCGTGCCCGGGTCAGAACCCCCACTGAGACAACTAGAACCGCAGCCCGATAATAAAACAGGAGGGGTAGGGGTGAGTAAGGCCAGGGGGAAGGCTGCGGCTGCCCTCAGACCCCAGACACGTAAAGGCAGATTTGGGCCACAGAGGGGCGTGTTCCCCTTGAAGCTGCTTCGGTTCCAAGCAAGGAATCCTCTTCGCCTACGTTCATGTGCCCCAGGCATTCCGGGACACCGGCCCCTCTCCAGCTTCCATCCAGCCTGTCCCTCCCAGGACCAAGGGGAGAAAGTGCCCCGACTGGTTTGGCCAGGACCACGCTGGTGCAGCTGGGTGCAGCGGGTGCGGTGGGAGGGACGCTAGCTTTCCCGGCGCAGGGATGACACGGGGACGGGCGGCGGCTTCCTGGAGCCCGCACTCAGGGTGCAAGGACGGCGGGAGAGGCCTGGCTGGTCCAGGGGCCCCACGTTCTTCCTCCGTGGGCACTCAAAGCCAGCCTGAGAGCGCGAGCAACGTGCACCGGGCCAGCCCCCAGCCTTCAGCCCCGGGGGCACCTGCAGTCCCGGGCCCAGCATTCCGCCTTCGGCCCAGGCTTTTTTTCTTAAAGAAACACTTCATACTTCACAAAAAGTTACATTCCAAGTACTTGTTGTCAAGAAATTTCAACAAGGGGGCTCAGACCACTCACCGGGAAAGGACAGTGCATCAACAAGAAGTGCTGGGCACCTGGACATCCATGTGCCGCGTGCTGACGCCGGACCCTCACCTCACATGGACACAAAACTCACCTGGCAATGGATCCTACACCTGGATGTCAGAGCTGAAACCGTACCCCTTGCAGGGAGGCAGGAAAACCGCCCCCCTGGGAACCCCTAGCTCCTCGGCAGAGACTGGAGGGCAAGCAGGGGGCCTCGGCGGTGGTCGTGGGGGGCGGCAGGTGCAGCCCGAGTGATGGGTCAGGGCCGCACGGGCTGTCTCTGGCTGCTCCTGGCTGCGGGGAAGGCGGCTGGGGCACAGAGAACGGAAGCTGGCCGTTACTGGCCGAGTGCGGGCCAATTGCTTCAGCAGCTAAGAAACGTGTCCACACAGACCCTTGGGCAGGAACTACCCCACGTCCACCACCTGCTGACCGGGCCACCAGAATGTGGCGTGTCTGCAGGACACAGGATTGCTGGGCCATAAAAAAGAAATGAACGTCAAGACAGCTGTTAGAAGGCAGGCGTGCTCCTGCCCACACTGAGGACTGGTGAGGTCTCGCTCCCCCGCACCCACCAGCCTCCCCCCACCCCACCCCCCCCCGGCGCCGGCGCCGGCGGACCCTTCCCCCACTAGTGCTGCTGGTGACCCAGGCGAGGAAGCCGTCTGTTAAAATGGGACCACAACAGGGGCGCCTGGGTGGCTCAGTCGTTAAGCGTCTGCCTTCAGCTCAGGTCATGATCCCAGGGTCCTGGGATCGAGCCCCGCATCGGGCTCCCTGCTCAGCGGGAAGCCTGCTTCTCCCTCTCCCACTCCCCCTGCTTGTGTTCCCTCTCTCGCTGTGTCTCTCTCTGTCAAATAAATAAATAAAATCTTTAAAAAAAAAAAAAAATGGGACCACAACATGCGAGAAACACTAACGTGTCCGTTTCATATTTTGCTTAGAAGAGAAATAACTAAACTTTGAAAAGAGAATTTCTTTTAAAGATTTTAAGTCCTCTCTACACCAAACATGGGGCTTGAACCCACCACCTTGAGATGGAGGGGCGCTCGCTCTTCCGACTGAGCTAGCTGGGGGGCCCCTGCAAAGAGAATCCGATTCCAGGATCATATTAAGGGATGGGTGCAGGCCGCATGTGAGCCGTGTCTGACGGCCGCGCTGGTGTGGATGCTGGGGACGGAAGGGGACAGCCTGTGGTGAGCACACTCTTCAGAAGCGCCCATCTTGAGCCGGCCCTTCCTGGAATTCTGGATCCTTGAATGAGGCTGGTGTCATCCGGGGCCCTTGGGGACAAGGGTCGATCCCTGAAAGCAGCCCAAAGGCGTGCAGAGGGCCCAACCGGCCCTCGCCAATGACCCCAGGGCCCTGGCTCATCAGCCTCTTCTTTCCGCTCCGTCCGACTGGGGTGAGTTCATGTGTCTATTTATAAATAGTTGGGTTTTTTTAAGTTACCCGCAGACCGCAACACAAACTTGCAGGGTAGGGAAGGCTTTTCTTGGAACAGTACACCTCCCTCCAACCAGACGCTCCCCAGAAACAACCCCGGCCCTCAGACCCGGGTATTCTCCCCCTTTACTGGGCTGTGACGGCAGAACAGCAAGACAGAAGCGTGGTGGGGAAACCACTCGTCAGGGAAGCATTTTCCGTAAGAGATGTTCGTTCCTGAAAGATGACGGTAAACAGGGGAAAGTGGAGTCATGTGCTTCTTCTCCTCCCCTCCCCCTCCCCCC